GACGCTTAACAACTGAGCCACCCAGGTGCCCCAAAATACAATGTTTAATAGAAGGATTAAAAAACAGAGCTGAGGGCGCCTGGGTGGCTCAGTTGGTTGGGCGACTGCGTTCGGCTCAGGTCATGATCCTGGAGTCCCGGGATCGAGTCCCGCATCGGGCTCCCTGCTCCGCAGGGAGTCTGCTTCTCCCTCTGACCCTCCCCCCTCTCATGCTCTCTCTCTCTCAAATAAATAAATAAAATCTTTAAAAAAATACAAATAAAATAAATAAATAAATAAATAAAAACGAAGTCTTATAAAAAAAAAAAACAAAAACAGAGCTGAGGGGCCCTTGGCTGGCTCAGTGAGTGGAGCACGTGACTCTTGATCTCCAGGTCATGGGTTTGAGACACGTTTTGGGTGTAGAGATTACCAAAAAAAAAAAAAAAAAGCTATTTTTGCAACCACATTTTTAGCCACTGAGAAATATTTGTTTTCTGATTGCTTCTTTTTCATGCAGCACCCTCTTCTTGTGTTATGGGTGTTTATGAGGGGTTCTCTCTGTACTCTGCATTTTAGGCATACCTCGGAGTTATTGTGGGTTCAGTTCCAAACCACAGCAATAAAGCAAGTCGAATGAGTATTTTGGTTTCCCAGTGCATATAAAAGTTATGTTTACATGATACTATAGTCTATTAAGTGTGCAATAGCAAGTAACTAACAGCTTATATGGCTTAAAAATTGCTGGGGCACCTGGCTGGTTCAGTCCGTGGAGTGTGTGACTCTTGGTCTCCAGGTTATGAGTTCAAGCCCCATGCTGGGCATGGAGATTACTCAAAAAAAAAAAAAAAAAGAAAAGAAAAGAAAGAAAGAAAAGAAAAGCTAACCATCATCTGAACTTTCAGCAAGTCATAATCACTGATCCTAGGTCACCACAATAAATATAAATATAGTGAAAAAGTTTGAAATATTGTGTGAATTCCCAAAATGTGACATAGAGTCACAAAGTGAGCACCACAAAAATGGTGCCGACAGACTTGCCCCGTGCAGGGCCGCCCCAAACCTTGAGTCTGTAAAAAACACAGTGTCTGCAAAGTGCAAGAGAGTGAAACACAGTCAATGAGTTATGCGTGTGTCTCTGTTTCCTCCAGTCCCCATCTTGTTTGTTTGTCTTTCTTTGCATGCTCCTGGTTCTCACATGATCACCATGTGTGGTGATCATTGGTAATATTTCATAAAGAACTACCAAGGTATCCTGGGTTTCCTCTGCTGGTATGTAAATTATACTATTTTTCCTCTAGGGTTCTCTCTGGTTGGAAATTCTGCCTAGGAATTCTTCGTGGAGGATAGGATAAGACACAACGACTGGGGGTGCCTGGGTGGCTCAGTCAATTAAGCTTCTGCCTTTAGCTCAGGTCATGATCCCAGGGTCCTGGGATTGAGTCCTGAGCCCCACTTTGGGCTCCCTGCTCAGCGGGGAGCCTGCTTCTCCCTCTGCTTCTCCCCCTGCTTGTGCTCTCTCTGTCAAATAAATAAATAAAATCTTAAAAAACCAAAAAAACAAAAAAACCCCGACACATCCACTGAAGAGCTTCAGTTGGGGTGGGGCGGGCTGAGGGTCAGCTGTCAGATTGTGGGTCACCCCAAAAGCTAGAACACAAAAACATTTATTCTGGATGGCCAAGGCTTAACTTCCCTCAGACAATTGGTTCAATTTCTTTGGGGACAAGCTGTCTGCCATTCCATTCTGTCCGAGGGAGGGAAATGCCTTCCGGGTGAGGAGGGGAAGTGGGGTCATCAGCTGGTACTGTTGGCCTGTCTTTGCAGACCTTCACTCATTCCCAGAATTTCACTCCCACCTCTCCCGCTTTCCTTTGCCTGCTGATCGGGGCAAGAGCCTCTCCTGGGCAGCCTAAGCAACTAGGCTCGACGGGCAAACCCCCACCATCTTTGCACTGTTGCTTCTTTTTGTATTCTCTACTTTTCCTGAGGATGGATTGGAGACAAAGGAGTATGCCTGACCCAGAGTCAGGTATCTTGTTTTACTTTCTAATTGCTCCACACACCCAGTATCCAGGCAGGTGGAGGCCTGTGGTAATGGCTCATTCATCAAACTCAGTGGAAATCGAGGAAGTATTTACTGAATACCAGAGTTCTGTCCCAAGGACAGGGCTTGCTTGTTTATTTATTTTTTATTTATTTCTGTATAATTTTAGTAATCTCTACACCCAACTTGGGGGCTTAAGCTTACAACCCCAAGATCAAGAACCTCATGCTCCACCGGCTGAGCCACCCAGGGACCCCTGCATCGTCCCTTTCTCACGTCATTTGCGTGTACTCCAATAACCCCGACCATAGCTATGAAGCACAACAAGGAGACACTCTTGTATGAAAAGGAAAGTCACAAGTTTGAAGTACAATGAAACATAAATCAGTGCTGTTAAGTTACATAGATCCCGAAAATGATCAGAATTCCCTCTGGGCTTTCCAGCAAAGTGTCTTGGGCTTCTTCCTTTTCTCCGTTACAAATGTCATCCACTAGAATCCCAAATCGGTTCAGTCATTCCAGAAATACTGAGTGCTCGCTCTTTGCCAGACATTGCGCTAGGCACCAAGGATAAACAGAAGAGAAGACATATGTGGTCCCTGTCCCCTCGGAGCATTTAGCTCAATCACCCAACAGATGTTTATTAAACATCCATTATGATCAAGTCGCTGCAGGGTGACAAGTGAAGCCACCGGCCGGGCACACTTACATCTTTGTTAACATGACTAGTCCTGTCTTCACTGGCGTAAATAGTATTCTAAGACACATTCACCCAGGAAGATGAATGTTACAAAGTAACTTTATTGCTTATTCCAGGAACTTCCTGAAAGACCCATCAACTCTTCAATGGAAAACATCAGCTGACTCTCTGGCACCTGGCTAGCTGTGTCTGCAGATCTGTAGAACATGCGACTGTTGGTCTCAGGGTCGTGAGTTCAAGCCCCACGTTGGGTATAGAGCTTCTTCAAAACAAAACAAAACAAAAAACGCCAAACCCCACAATCAATCAGGGGGGCCTGGCTGGCTCAGTGGGTAGAGCATGCAACTCTTTTTTTTTTTTTTTAAAGATTTTATTTATTTGTCAGAGAGAGAGACAGAACACAAGCAGTGGGAGAGGCAGGCAGAGGGAGAAGCAGGCTCCCCGCCGAGCAAGGAGCCCGATGTGGGAATCGATCCCAGGATCCTGGGATCATGACCTGAGCCGAAGGCAGCGGCTTAACCGACTGAGCCACCCAGGCGCCCCGAGCATGCAACTCTTGATCTCTTGGTAGTGAGTTTGAACTTCATATTGGGCATAGAGATTACTTAAAAAAAAAACAAACCCAGCTGATTTGCAATAGAAATGTCTTATCAACTGACAATTTACACCTTAACACTGTTTGAGCCCCTCACTTTGCTATGTAAATTCTGCATGATTAAACCATAACCCTTACCTACCCTAATCGACCCCTGTTCTTACCCTAGCTTGGAAAGACCTGCTTTAAACCAGACTTCAATGTCTCAAGTAAATTTCGTGGGTTTGCCCATCTCCCTACGAGGCATTGTCAGACCTTTGAGGGACAAGCAGTAAACCCTGCTTTGTCTTATCAACAGGTTGTTCTAGTGATATTTGGGGAACTGGCATTTGACAAGGTGCCGGGAACACAGTGAATAAAATCCTCATGGAATTTACATTCTAGACACAGACAATAAAACAGAAACCAGGAAATACGTAATTTTATACTTTACAACGTCGATGGGGAGATAGTAGCCAGGTCGATCATTACAAATTTTGACAGCTGAGAAAGAGAGGGCACCAGAAGGGACAACGTGGGCAGTTCGGGTCCTCGTGAGAAAAGATGGTCTGGAAAACTCTCCGAAATGACTGACCGGGGAGAGGGTGGTCTGAGTGTGCCAAGTAAGGAGACTAAAGGTGTTGAGACCCTGAGACAGGGAGGGGGCTCCGCCGATTCCAGAACACAAAGGAAACCGACAAGACCAGAAGGCGGGGAAGGGGCAGGACTGAGCAGAGCCCCAAGGTAGAAGCCTCTCCGGAAACTTTCTTAGAGCCACAGCTTCACCCGAGCTAATTAGTACTCTCTGCAACGGAGTTGCTTTCTGATACTTTTCACTACAAATGTGCGTAAGTGAACGCTACAGGTTAAATGCATTTTTGAGGGTCTTCCTGTTCACACAAGTGTTCTCATGGCAAAAGGGGTCCAGCTTTGACCAAATTCATGCATCGGGCTCTTGGAGCGCCCGTTGAACTCACTTAAGCCCTGTGCTTAGCGGAAACGGCCCCTGTGTTTCCAGAGAGAGGCATTAGGGGAACCCGCCGACTGGGGGCGGGGGCGGAGGCTGGCACGAGGGCGGGCCAGAAGCTAGCTCTGTCTACCGCAGGACGCCGCAGTTTTAATCAACTCCCAACTGATCTGCCGAAAGAAGTGAGCACATGACCCGTGTGAATGATGTCCTCAGGCTCTTTTCCAGTTTCGTGCACGGAAGTATTGTCCTTCGGTGCAGCCGATAAAATCCAAACGGCTTTCGGCCCTAACCCCGCTGCCGGGTCATCCCAGTCCGGGACCCGAAATCGACGGTCGCGCCGGGGGCAGGAGTGGCCCCGTCGGCGGCGCGGGGGTCCCAGCGCCTCTCTCTCTCTCTCCCCCCCCCTTCCTCCGCACCCGGGCCTGGGTGGAGTCCCCGCGCGCGGCGCCCCCGCTCCCGCTCCCCGGCCGGCCCCCCGCGCCCGGGGCCCCTCCCGCGAACCCCGGCCCCGCGGGCCTCCTCCCGGGGTCGGCGCGCGGTGCACGCGCTCGGCCGCCCGCGGCTCAGCGCCCCCGCCGCGTCCCGCTTCCTGTGCGCTCCCCTCCCGGGCGCATCCGTCGCCCCTCCTTCTCGGCCGCCCGCTCCGCCCGCCGGCTCCCCGGCCCCCGCCCCCGCGGGTCCCGGGCCGGGGGTGGGGGGGGCCGCGAGGCAGGCACAGCCCCCCGCCCCCATGGCCGCCCGTCGGAGCCAGAGGCGGAGGGGGCGCCGGGGGGAGCCGGGCACCGCCCTGCTGGCGCCGCTCGCGCTGGGCCTGGGCCTGGCGCTGGCCTGCCTCGGCCTCCTGCTGGCCGCGGTCAGCCTGGGGAGCCGGGCATCGGCGCCCGCCCAGGTGAGGCCCTGCGGTGCAGCCCTCCCGGGGCCGGCTGGGAGCCGAGTCTGCGGAGCGGCGGACCGGGCCGGGTGGGCTGAGGGCACGGGGCCTGGAAGATGGGTGGAGGGTGAGATGTCAGGTGGAGAAGGACGGGGTGACGCTGCCTCCTTCCCAGCAGGAGCCTTCCCAGGGGGAGCTGGTGGCGGAGGAGGACCCGGACCCGCCGGTGAGTGGCCGTGGGTGCCGGGCGCGCGCTGCTGGGCGTGGGGCGTGTGCGCGAGCCGAGGGCGCAGGGTGTGCCCCTGGCCGTGCCAACTGCGTGTGTGCGGGGGTGTGCACCGCCGTGCATGCGTATGTGAGACAGAGAGAGAGGGAGGGTGCCGCTGTGTGGAAGGGGTTTGTGTCACCTGAGTCCGGAGTGTTTATTGGCTGTGGGTGAAGTGGGGGTATGGGATGGGGGGAGCCTGCCGCCGAGGAGGGATGCTGGTGATGTGTGCAGGGTGTGTACCCACTGTGCACACAGACTGGGTGTGGGCGCCTGTGCCCTGTGCTGATCGCGCCGAAGGGTCTGTGCGGGTTCTGTGTGGTGGGGGGCTGGGGGGCCGGGGGACCCCAGGACCTGGCCTCCCTAAGACTTGTGTGTCTGGTGCTGGCTGGTGTCTCTCCCGACGAGGGGCGGGGGCGGGTGGCCCTGTCGGTCTCAGCTTAGTCTCTGGTAGTTCCCGCAAGACCCCGGTTTAGCCCTGCCCTTAATTCCCCTAGGAACTGAATCCCCAGACAGAGGAAAGCCAGGATCCTGGGCCTTTCCTGAAGAGGCTGGTTCGGCCTCGCAGAAATGGTGAGCATCCCTTTATCCACCCTTCAGGAATAATCGCAGTGGTCAGTCTGCAGTGGCTTCTGCGCTCATTATTGATTTTGTTCATTCACAGCCCCACGGAGTGGGCAGAGCCAAAACCACCATCCTCACTTATGCTCGGGATGGAGAAACTGAGGCACAGACAGGGTTTGCGGGTTCCATGGAGTTCAGAGTCAGGCAGCTAATCGGTTGAGACGCAAACCTAGAATTCTGGCCCTCTCTCTGAAGCCCCTCCCATCCCATGGACCTGCTTCTCACTTGAGATCCTACACCAGATATGAAGGAGGGGATGGCCCAGGGTTAGGAGATGGAGACAAGGTGGGGGAGGCAGAGGCGGGGGCCCCAGTAAGCAGAGAGGCTTGTGAATGGGATGACCACGTGACTGTGTGTACAGGTTTGCACAGGACTGTCCCCGCTTACGACTGTTACCTCCCTGCAATTATTTCTTTAAACTTTTTTTTTTAAAGATTTTTTATTTATTTGAGAGAGAGAGAATGAGAGATAGAGAGCATGAGAGGGAAGAGGGTCAGAGGGAGAAGCAGACTCCC